GCGGAGCTTTTTATAGGTGAAGCAAATATTAAATCACCTGTGGACTACCTAACCTGGATTGGACACTTAATCTGGAATTTCTAAATGACCTAAAATTTTCTCAGGTTTTCCATAAATGTGTGGATTCGTGCATCTGATAACAATGTGTAGCAACACGAATGAACAAACAACAGCTTCGAGGCTGCACTGTGTGCCACCTGGGATAAAGGGGATGACAGAGTGAGTCATGTAATCCCAGTCACCTGAAGTACCTGTGGCACCCTGGTGATGTGTTCATCATATGTCTCAGTAAGCTGTCACGAAGCTGAGGGCACGCGCTATGAATGTGTGCAGTTAGCTGACATCTGAACTGAACTTTTATAGTAGCTGTGGCTTATTTAGGATGCACTAATTCCAGAGTGTGGCTCTTAGAAAAGAAGCTTGATGAAGACACATACCCTCCTCTGGCGCAGAGCTCTCGGCTGAGCTGTCGCCATCTGAGCTGCCGGACGCCGTTGCTTTATTAACCTTCTTCTTCGTAGCATTCTTCTTTTCAGACCCTTTGCCCGGCTTAACCTTCTTTTTGCCTTTGGTGCCACCAACAGTCCACTAGACAATAAGGTGAAAAAAAACATCAGTTTTTTGCAAAATAACAGCTGTAAGTGACAGAGAATAGCAGCCTATTCTCTTGTGTCTGACATGTCCCGAATTGAAAAATACGAACGCTGCCATACCTCGTCATCACTGTCAGATGTCTCAGAGTCTGTAGAAGCTGCTGGTTTGCTAACGGGCTCCTCCTGCTCACCCGAATCAACCCTCTTCCTCTTTGCCAAAGACAGCAGCTCCTGAAAATGTCAACACAGAGAAGTGGTTCAGAAATAACACCCTGTGCAATAACAGAGCCGCAAAGTTGAAAAATGCCCCATGCAATGGAACCCCGCTCATACTGGGCGATGGAAATGCTTCTAGGTGATGCAATCATGAACTAAATACAGGTGAATAAGCTGAAACTGTGTGGACGATGAAGGGCGAACACCTCAGACTCAGCTCAAATAGCCAGATTTGAATGCTAAACCTGAGGAAAGCTTCCAAATTACCATAATTCTCACCGACTAGCAAGAACAAAGGTGTATTTTTGTTCAGCAGCCCACAGGTAGAATTATATATGACCAGTAGTCATTAAAAAACATTTTGGCGGTGAAGTGCAATTTGTCTCAACAACATTTAGGCATAACGTTGATTCAACATACTTGTCTGATCAGACGCAAAAGCAATAATGTGAGGTTGCTTATTCTAAGAATGTGGAAAAACAGCCTTAAACTAGGACACGTCCCACCTGTGTTAAAGCACAGAGCCTCCATGACAAATCTGAATTAAATGCAGTTTCTGTGCCTTTGTTAGTATAACATTCAGTGTTTCTGCTGACAGTCACAGTGAATCATACAGAGTGGGCTGCCGACTTGGTTTTCAGCACCAGAGCCCTCTATGGCCTCAAGATAACTGGAGAGATGCAGATTGAACAGATCAGAGGCTAAACGATTTGGGGAAAATATTGAATTGTAATTTGTCTGACAGATATTGTAGTTGGAGTTGTAATATGTGTTGGTTTTTTGTGTTTTTTAAAGCCAAGTTTCTGTTCAATATTCACGGTGTAACTGATTTAAAACATGTGACAGAGCTTTATCACATGAGATGCCATGAAAAGTGCGACAGTCACACAAGGAGGATGAAACATTTTTGTCAAAGCATTGACAAGATAGTTTAAACTCTGGGTCAGACACACTAGACAAGAGTATTAAACAATAAAACTGGGCTTGTGTCAGTCGAACCACAGCATGCATGTCTTAACCACACAGCATACGTTTGATCAATGGGCTTGAATAAACAACTCCTGAGGAATTCAACCTGCTTGAATTAAACAAAACTGAATTGCAGCATTTGTTTCATAAATAACTGAATTGTTCCAAATTACAATTTCATATTCAAAATATTAAAGATCAAAAGTTGGAGCATTAAAGGAAGAACCTCCAGAATGATCAACAGCTTCACGCCACAAGCTATCAGGATGCTGAACTGTTGATCCAGATATGCAAACACTTCTTTATTTAAATTGCTTTAAGTTGTTGGATCCTGAAGAAACGCTCTCTCATCTCGCCTGTACTACTGTGTATGTACAGCAAAATGACAATAAACGTGATTGGAAAACAATAAATTCTGTACTGGCAGAGGTGAACCTGTCTCATCTTCTTAATTCACCACCTTGTTGCACGTGCTTTGCCCTCTGTATAAAAATGTGCACGATATAGTCGGACATTTTGGAATCTTCATGGACAAATTGAAAGTAATTTTATGCCACAAGAACCTGGAAACTGCTATCTATGCTTTTACCAGTTTGCAATACTGTAACTGGGGTTGACAGTCAAACCATACACCACTACAGATTGTTCAGAACGCCGCTGCCAGGCCTCTAACTGGTACAAAGAAAAAAATGCACATCTGCCCACTTCTGGCTCATTTACATCAGCTGCCAGTGAAACACACAGCTGAGTTCAAAATTCTACTACTTGTTTTTAAAACCCTTACAGCTCCATGATGCACTACAGATATATTACCTGCATTTTCTGCTCCTGCATCACTTTGATCATCATTATATTTAGTCCTCACCTTTTTTCCATTGCTTTTCGGTCTTTCTGAAGCTGCCCTAGTAACGTTCACTTTCAGTTTCTTTTTTGCTGTTCTGTATTGAATAGCTGACTTAACTCGCGTTTTCTCTTTCAACTCCACCTCTTTTTTGAAATCTCGCCAATATGCTTAACTGCGGTTATCCCACTCATATGGTCGTCTGCACACATGTTTATATTTGAGTTTTCTGTGATTCTTGACACTTTTTCTATGCATTCATATGAACAACTGCATATTTTTAACTTTGTGCCTTGCATGGGTTTTCCATGCAAAATTTTGGAGGGTCTTATCCGTAATATTGGACAACAAATAATAATACTGCAGGTCTTAATACTTAGTTTACTCCGGTAAATTTGTATTTTATATAATTTTGCAGTGTTTAAGCTACAATAATTAAATTACTTGGGTAAATTCACATGAGAGAAAACACTGTAGTGTCTTAACCTCAGTATTATCAGCAATTTCCCTGAGGTTTCCACCAAAGGGATCAATAAAGTTCTATTCTATTCTATTCTATTCTAAACTTACTGGATACATTTGCAGCCAGTCTTATTTTTCTACTGGAAGGCACTTTGGCAAAACAGCTGATAATTTACATGAGATATGTAAATGACAATGACTGGACTTTTACAAAGGTAATTTAAATCCTATTTTATAAAGCTACAGAGAAGTCAACTTGTGGATCCAAAACAGTGCTCAGTCAAACATTGGGTGTTATCTTTCATTTGTAGGTCACAGATTTGGCCTGATTACAATGAGCTGTTTTGTTGTGTTGCTGAACTTTATTGGTGAACCTTATCCCCTTCATCAGCACCTGTACCTGTTCTCTTTCAACATTTAAGGTCACCAAAATTACTATTAAATGACCTTTGAAATATAACAATCTCACTCCAGCTGGTTCTAATGCGTTTCTGTTGCAAGACACAAATTTAAAAATGGTTATAGCTCTGTATATGTTCAAATAAGGCTAATTTCAAGACACATAGTTTGAGAACCGTTGCTCTTGCTCGCTTGTGACATTGATGTGGTAAAGAACGGAGCATTGACAGACAGTGGGATGGTCTCACTTTGCCCAGAGCACAGTTTTACAATAAACCAACTTCAAAACAGTGCAATTATCAGGTAAAGTTTGAAGGTTTCTGGGCTGAGCTGAGGAGCCAATGCTTCAGGGTCCTCGCAGAACCTGCTGCCAGGTACACTACACAGGAGTTTAATGCAGATCGGAGCTGTTATACCAGCGTGTCAGAGCAGATCTCGTAGCTGACATGAGTTTGCCAGCTCTTGTTTGACAACAACACCGAAATAGAACTTCAGCTCTGCGCCCATGACGTCATTCAGGAGATAAGGTTCGAGCTGAACCAAATGCGGCTCCAGTCAATGGAAACACATCTTATTCTAGTTTAGTGTGGAAGCTAACAAACAAACCCCCCAAGAGTGCGCAGCCAAGCAGCTCACTCCTCAAATACGAGTCAAAGGCCTGTGGCGCGGCATTTTCGTGGCAACATAACACTGCATGATGGCTAACGTTGAGTACATCTCGTAATGTAACCGTAGCACATCTCAGCTAGCTTTCTGTACAACCTACAAACATTTCCCACCGCGCTGGACACCTCCAACAAACACTGGAGGGAAACCTAGCAATGTTTTTTGTGGTAAAAATGCCGTGTTTACCCTGGAAGGATCGTAAATAAGACGGGCCCCACTCTGAGCGAGGCCAAACACAGCGCAGTCAGTTAGCGCACGTTAGCTTCACCTCGAACTGTTGACAACCTAAGTAGCCGCCAGTCGGAGCAGAATGAGAAAAACGCACACTCACCTGGTCTAAATTATCGTCGCTGGCGCTGTCTTCGGAGTCGGAGTCAATCACGACTCGACCTTTCCGCTTCTTTACATTCACCATGACTAGCTGCACGGCTAACCTGCTAGCTACCCCTGTGTCGTCTGTCCGAGGCTAGCAGCTGAGGCTACCTAGCTCTGCAGTCAGCCACACAAAGGCGGTACTGAGCATGCGCGCTCTGATTGCCAGCATAATTACAGTTTATACTTGCGAGCGACATATAAAATCCCACTGGTGCTTCCCATATTATTTAATTAGTACATCTGAAATAGAGAAATCGTTATTGCAATGAAACTGAAAACAGAAAAGCATCTTTGTAGTTAATAGAGAGCGGAACTTCACATGTACAGTGAGTGCGTCAGTCAGGGCAGGAATCTGTGGTGCACTAAAGCTGCGTTCAAGGCACAACGTTGTATTGCTGTAAATCTGTGTGCGCTGACTCCCTGGGTTACGTTTCTGTCTGTATGTGCCTTGAACACAGCACGGAGGCTTCCGCCGTGTGGAACCGGATAACCTTGGGATTGTACACGAGTGTGAACGAACAGTTTGTAAGTTGTTTGCGCTTTATAACGGTGATATATCCAGATATATTCAGGGTGTGGCTGAAATTACACCAAATTCGTGCAGTCTGCTGATGTTTAGACGAGACTGGAGCTGCTACAGCGTGGTAAGTGGAAGCAGATTGTGCTAGCAGAGTTATGTATTATCTGTGTAGATTCTCAGTCATCCAGGTTATGGTAAGTGGCTCAGTACATTTTTGGCTCTGAAACATGTTTCACTTCTCACCCAAGAGGCCTAATTAGTTCTACCTGACTGTTGGGGATTTCTAGGTTTTTATTCTCACCCCTAAACCACATGAATAATGGCAATGCTTGTGTTCCTGCTTGGTTATGGATTTAGACCCTACACTGTAAGTGCCTGATAAGTGATGCTGTGGATCCCTCTCCTCTGTTTAGAAACGAGTGGTCACTTGTTCTTAAGATGCAAATTGCTGAGTCTTGTCCCAAGGAGCCGGATCTCCTCTTTTAGGCCATGAGCTTACAAAACCTGTTGGCTAGTCTCACTCATATACATGTAAATATGTTTATATATAGGTCTCTGCACTCTTTCCTGCATTGGACTGCATGTACAGTGTTGCTCAGTTTGTGTTTGGGTGTTTTATCCTCATGGAGAACCAGTTTTTGTCTTGCAGTGTTGCTGGGTCTGAAATGTTTCAGGATTTAGTGTTTCGAGAAAATCTTTCCAAGTTTTTTCCAGTCACACCAGCAATGTTGGATGACCATGTTGTTAAACTTGTTCCTCTTTTCTTCTCTATTACGTTTTGAACTGTTTTTGATCTTTAAGTTGCTCTATTGAAGGCCTCTTGGATGAGAGGTGAAAAGTCCTCAAGAGCAAAAAAAAAAAAAAAAAGGTCTAGTTGCCTTCTACTGAGGCACATAAGTTGATGTATTTTTGGATGAAAAAAATAAATTCATAATTTAATGTTACATAAGCGCAAATATCTCCTGTTCAACTTAGAAATAATGCAAGTATTGTATTTTCTTTAATCATTTACCATTTAAGTAATATTGCACGAGTTGCTTCTCACTTCTGTTGTATACTGTATTCAAAAGGCGCATTTGTACAGTCAGTAAATTAAACCTTGAAACATAAATGCAGCTGATCAGTCACTAAGGATCGACTCATAAGAGATACATCCAAAAACAAGACCAATGAATCAGGCAGAACACATGTTTTTTGCAGATAGAAATGTGATTTATTCTCCCAAATAACTATGTAAATATTCTAAATATTGATCACAGTCTGTCAAGAAAAATGATAGGATTTTCTGTCATGTTTATCTGTCTCTAAATCTGAGAAACTTTATCTTGAGTATCCATTATTATCCTGTAACCTGCGTATAACAGAGCCCCTTTCTTGTGTGATGCATCCCAGCAGTGAATCATCCAGATCAGCCCTGAAATGTCCCTGCAGAAGGTCACCCGACTCCCTCCAGTGAGGCTGCTCAGCTCCATCCTCCAGCAGCAGCAGCAGCAGCAGCTGTTGTTCCTCCCGTCCACCTCCGCCCTCGCTGTGCCCAGAAGAGCTATGGGTGAATACAGACGACCCGGCCAGCCCAAAGAGAACAAGTACCTGTGGCAGAAGATTGACTTTGACTTCTCAAAGGGGTTGGAGGGGATAAAGAAGGATTTCACTCTGCTGAAAAAGGAGCTTTTCGACCGCAGCATTGGTCCACAGGGCAAACCATTGGAGGAGCACATGCTGGAACAGAACAGAGTGATCTGGGAGTTTAGAGGTCAAGAGAGTCTGGATCAGTGGACTGTGTCTTCTGATCAGGAGATAGGAGGCCAGAGTGAAGCATACCTAAAGCTTGGAAAGAACAATGTCACCTGTTTTCTGCATGGGAATCTGAGTTCTGTTCCTCCAAGAGATGGAGAGACACGTTACAGCGGATACTGCACCATGCGCTCAAAACAACCACGGGTTAGTACCCTGGTAACTGCTGATTTACACTACAAGCACTAATATTTAAGTTAATGAATTACATGTAGGTTTTAGTATTATCTCCTCCTGGATTTGATTCTTAGCCATAGAGGAGAAGTCTATGATGACAGAGTTTGGGGGAAAAAATGATTCTGAACACATTATGTTAAAGAATTTTAAATATTTTCAATCATGATACATGTTTTTCTTTAAAGACGGTGGAAGCACCCCCTCTGAATACGCTAAAGCATCTAGTATAATAAATACCTCGAAGGATGATTTCTGAAACACTGAAGGCAATTTAGTGGGCATTGTTGTACTGCTAAACACACATTTTGACATATATTGATCACCTTGAAACTACTGTTGCATCAGCTCAGAAAAATCTTTGTCCATGTGCTGTCACTTCAAATAGCTGAATTTGCAGGCCTTTCCTTCTTCCTCCACTGTACTTTTTTGGGTATAAGTGTGCCTTAGAATGAAAACCTGCTGAAATCGAAGATCTGGAAACATCTCAAACTTAACGCTGACAACCTTTTGTCTCTTCTAGGCTGCGTTTAACAGAAAACAGCACTACAACTGGTCCAATTTTAACACCCTGCATTTGCGTATCCGTGGTGATGGCCGTCCATGGATGATCAACCTCTCGGTAGACACGTACTTCGAGCACAACAAAGATGACATATACAGTTATTTCCTCTTCACCAGGGGGGGACCCTACTGGCAAGATGTGAAGGTGAGCACAAAACTCTTTCCACTGAGAGGTGCCAAGAAATCTAATGATCAGCAAAGCAACGTCACAGAACTTTGAGCATCATGTTGCCACATTTGCTTCACTTTCATTTTAAGGAACACAATCGAGGGCTGCAAGGTGGCTCGGTGGTTAGCACCGTTGCCTCGCAGCTATAAGATCCCCGGTTTGCGTCCCGGTTAGGATGCCTGGGATCTTTCTGTGTGGAGTTTGCATGTTCTCTGGGTTCTCCGGCTTCCTCCCACAGTCCAAAAACATGTTGAGGTTAATTGGTGATTCTGAATTGTCCGTAGGTGAGACTGTGAGTGTGCTTGGTTGTCTGTCTCTAAGTGTAGCCCTGTGATAGACTGGTGACCTGTCCAGGCAGTCAATTGGGATAGACTCCAGCCCCCCACGATCCTAGTGAGGATTAAGCAGTGTATAGATAATGGATGGACTTCTTAATTGACGTAAATATTGCTCATTTGCAGATACCTTTCTCCAAGTTCTTTTTCTCAAGTCGAGGGAGGATTCAAGACAACCAGCATCCCATCTGGCTGGATAAGGTAGTGCAAAGGAAAAAATATTACACTAAAATGGCATCAAATAAACAAAGTGATACTATTTGGTAGATTTTGTCATTACCTGAAGATGTTTTAACCTAAGCCCTTTTCAGACGCAGTATACATATTATTTTAATGTTTCTCACGACTTTGTATGGAAAAACCATCACAGTGATGAAGAAATCCACAGTACCCACAAGACTATATAGTGCATAAAAACATACAAATAAGCAAAAGACCAAAATTTAACTAATTACAAGTTTATCAAACCAAAAAAAAAACAAAAAACAAGTACCCTAGCAAATGTATAGTTTCCTAAACAGTAACTTCCGTCCATGTGAGATGATATTCTAACTACTACTTTATGAACAGTAAGATGAAACTATCCCAACAGCTGTAATGAAGCTCAGGACTCAACCTGAGGACGGTGATTTTACTGCAGCTGACAAACTGTGAGTCTGTGTGACAGCTCACCTGTCTAATGTGAAGAAAAGTCATTTATATGGTAATTTACATGCAAATTCTCTTTCCTGAGATGCTCATAAGGCTCCTGCTGCTGTCTGATGCTGCACGTATTTAAAAAACTCTGAGGGAAAAAGTCCTAAACAGCTGGAAGCAACAAACTAAACCTCAGCTCCTTGTTTTGTCAAAACCTACATTTCATTCATTATTGGAGAGTCTCATCAATCTGACCTGTTCTCTCCGCACTGCAGTAAAGTTTCATTTTTGTGGATATTTTAATTTGTAATACATGCAAAGTTGGAGAGAAAAATGAATGAGGAAGGTGTTTTTCTGGAACTTTTTCTTACTGGGTTTCTAGAACAATAATGGTTCTGAAATCATTAAAACTTCAACCCCAAATCACTTTGCACAACTGAAGTATGTTGGGATCTTGTGTGTCCTGTTCAAAGTGATACAGAAAAGCTACTAGAACTGGCTTCTCAACTTTCATAGAAAACTGCGCAGGTGGCTCATTTAGACATGAAGCCAACATGTCCAGATGCTACCAGAGAACAAAGAACTGGATGTCTGAAAGGGGCTTAATTTTTTATTTTTTTTGCCACTGTTAATATCATGTTTTTTGCATTTGTAGATCAGTACTATTGGGTTTACGTTGGGAGACAAAGCAGATGGTCCGTTCCAGCTTGAGATTGACTTCATTGGTGTCTGTATAGATTATGGACACACTGAGGAGTGCGCCTATGAGAAGTACAAGAGGAATCCTGAAGTCTGAGAACAGCTACCACCGTGCTGCAGTTGAACTGCTATCAGAAAAACAATGACACCTTCACTCGTGTTGACGCGTTTATCAGGATCCTAGTGGATGTTCTGTGATACAGCACTGACTTACAGTTCTTACCTGTGTGGAAGGAATGTTTATCTGGTCTTAAAGTAAGAAAATATTCAATTCAAGGCTTCCTGAATGAGAGTTACAGGACAATAACGGAAGATTTTGTTGCTCCTTTACAAGAAACTTAAGTTGATGATGCTTGTTCTGTACATATGACATCACATACAGATGATTTATTAAACAATAAAACTATTTTCCACATGAATTTTGTTCCTTTTTGTATGATTCTGTTTCAAAAATCAATATTAAAACACTACACTCTGGAAAAACTGCACTAGCAAATTTATTTTAAAGATTGAGAATACAAAGACAAAAATCTTTTGAGTCTCTTTTATAATCAGGTCTTATCCTCCCAAAAAGGTAAAAAAGAAAACAAAATGTTTAATAACAAATGCAGCAAGACAGGACATCGACTTTCTACACATCGAAATACAAAAATGCATCATTCAGAGCTAAAAGGCGTATTAGTAAATGCATGAGTCAAACCTAAATAAAACTCTGGCCGGACAGAAGACGTGAGCTATTTTCCTACAACAGGCTACTAGAGACAGCAGAAACAAATGTGTCTGCTGCAGATGACAACATATTTACAGTAGAACAGCAGGCTGTACAAACGACAACAAAAAGCGCTATATTTTTACATCATGACGAGGCCTCTTCTTGCCCCAAGCATGTTTTCTTTCTTCTGCTTGCGGTCTTCCTTGTGTTTCGCTCTCCTGTCGTCTCTACAGTAAAACACAGAACATCCATAAGAGACACCATAAAAATAGATTGTTACTGAATAGATATCAACTTCAGACGCACCTCGACTGGACTGTGTGCTGTTTGTAAATCTCCTGATGTGTATTTGCGATCAGAGACTTGTTTCCTGCTGTGTTTTCTTTGACGTCTCCGAATGGCTTCAGTTTACCTACGAGAAGAACACACCATCAATGCTCCGTCCTGCCTACTGACGCAATATTTCATTTTAACAGAGAACTGGAAGACAGTTTATACCTGTATGAGGCTTGTAGGTGAGCGGACGAGACAGACTCGCCTTCAGATCAAAGGTGGGTTTCTTTTGTGTTCCAGGTGTCGTCAAAGCGCTCGTGTTGCCGGTGAAAACGAACGTTCCTTTCAGAGAGGACAAACAAGTCATCTGGTCAGTGTGTACGTATCTCAGGGCAATTCTGGTGTCATTCCAAGGGTTGTAAGGTAAAAGTACCTGGAGTTTTTGTGGCAGATAAAGCTGAAGTCTTGACACTGTTGGGTTTTCCTGCATCAGCGGTCTGTCTTTGTGGGGTGCTGGAGGCCAGGCAGGGGGACATGCGAGCTGGCGTCTTCACCAAAGACCGCTTGTGCTCGTTGTCACGGGTAGCTTCTGAGAATCTGCACACAAACACATCTGGCTGTTAGAGAGATGTGTTAAAAACCACACTTTGACTTTAAGATATAAGAGAATCATCCAGCTGAGTAGGTGTGAAGTCCAGTGCTTCACCAGTCTGTCACTATCACTTTATTTACTCAGGGAAAAGCAAGAATGATTGGCTGTGTGCTAAGATTACAGGTTAAACCCAACATGTTACCGTATTTGGCTTCTGTTCTATTCAATATTTTCAGCACTGCACAAATCTAGATGCATTTTATGTACATTGTGTATTTTTTCTGACGACACTGGATAGAAATTCCATAATAAGCTCTCTGAATATCGTAATTCAAGTGAGGTCTGAGAGGAAACTAGACTTTTGCACTTCCTCTTGACTCTGTTTTCAGGTTACAGAAAGTCCAGCTTGTGACAGGAGACTTTAACTAATCACAGGGCTTTTCAACAGAGGGTGTCATTCCTATTTGTCTGTTCTACAAAAGCAAAAGCACGTCCCTTCAAATGGTGGAAAGCCCATTTCAGTGTTACTATTCTAGCACTCGCAGCACTGCAAAGTAACCCAAAAAGGAAAACTGACTTCTAAAAACAGAGTCTGACAATAAAGAAACACACGTCAATATTGGCAAAGCATTCATTAAACTGGAGCGACATCTAATAACTCTTATACTCTGAGCTTGCTGTTCTTCTCCAGGACAGGTAAGCTGCCAATTTTATATTCCAGTGATTTCTAAATGTGCTTCAGTGTTCGGTTCGGTTCTGTAGGCAGACTGGCTGCGCTGAATGCTGCTAATAGTTCTAAGCCTTCAGTAAACTGTAACCAACAGCTCATAGCTGCAGCTGAGACTAATTAAATGTCATGTTTACCACCAAGCTTGTGGGTATCCGCCCATGAATCACATGCGTATGCCTGTGCTTGTCTAGTGAAAGAGGGTTCAAGATTTGTTACTAGCTCATATAGTACTGGCAGTGAAATGTGAAGTGACTGTTCCACAAGACTGTGCAATAACAAGACATAATTCAAAAAAACAAAACATATTATGTTGTTCATCTGAAGACATTTTTGAATTTGTGACATTTTTTTGGCCATTGTTCTATGTTCCTTCTCCCTCTCTGAGATCCTCTTGGTGATGTACTGTTTATTTGTCACATTTTACATGGATTCATTCTGTTTTATTTGTGTTTTAATCCATTTTGTTTCATTGGAAACCACTTGGCAGTTATTATTATTACTGCAATTACTTCTTTTCCTTGCAAAGCTCTGAGTTAAAAGGAGTGACTCACCGAACGTTGATCCTGCGAGTGGAAAGGACAGACGGTCTGAATGGAACACTTTCCTTCTTGGCAGTTTTATTTGGAGGAGGTTTGCTGGCTGAGAGCAAAGTGTGTCTGCGCTTTTCTTCAGCTGTTTTCTTGTTCACCGGGGCAGGGCTGAACATGGTAGCACGGGTGGGATTTTTCTTCTGGAAGGAATATGGAAATTTTCACTGCATTATAGAATTCAACAATGTGTTCTACAATTGTAGGTGTTCTGCAGATAGTGATGCTCACCAATTGAGCTTTGCCTTCAACTTGCTGTGGTTTAGTTTTGTCTGAAGTCTTCTAAAAAATAAAATTGAATTCAAAATTAAACTTCACAGTCAGATATAGCATTTTAAATGATCAGAATACAGTCAGCCAAGACTTTTTGAAAAAAGAATACCTTCAATTCTTTGTCTGGATTTTTGAGGGTCTCCTTCTGCTTCGTCCTTCGCTGGAAATAAGAATCGATAGACTCCATTTTGTTAAACTGCGCCTCATGGAGTTTCTTGAAGTCTAAGAGAGATAAAAGATATAATTTGCAAAAAAAAATGTAAAGACTTGATGGGAAAAAGTCTGCTTAATTATGTGGCACAAGGGAGAAACAAAACATGAAAGAAAACTCACTGGGAGTGACAGGTTTCAGCAAAGGTTTGTTCTTCTGCTGGAGCCGAGGGATTTTACCAGCTTTGGTCACTTTTGGTGCTTTTTCTGGACAGATATTTAAAATATATGTTAAAAAAAAAATCTAATTAATGTCAAAGTCAAGAATCTCTTAGGAAAGACAGGGGGAAAGGTTATTCAAACCAGACAAAATTTACAGCTTGTATCATCCTTTAGTAACCACTGACCTGCTTCACCACACACAGGTGCTTCATCCTTAATATCAGGCTGCTGCTCACTGACAGAAGTCTGTGGATTCTCAGAAAGCTCAGCCTCAGTTCTGTCAGAATCCTTGATTGAGGACAGCCTCCTCTTCTTAGCACCCCTGGCATTGCGGGGTGCATCCATGACAATGTCACCCTTAAAGAAACAACAGACATTTAAGTCTTTAAACCTTCTAAACACAAAGAATATACACTACAACAAAGCAATCTGGTGCATAGATTCCCGCCATGCAAAGATGGTCTAGTACCAACTTTGCATAGCTGCACTAGCAATTAACAAATTATTAATGAGTGTCTTTTTCTTTCCTTTTTTTTAATCTGGAGCATCAGACTTTTCTTTATCCGACTCATCAGATGTAGACTCCAGGATGCATCTTATGTGGTTTTCACTTTTCAGACCCACAGTGCTGTGGATATAGGTCTGGTGAAGCAAGATTAGCCTTTTTTTGTATGCTTCCTAGGTTTTTGTTTTTTTTAACCACCATAGGCTTCGCCATATTCCCAGTGGCTATAGCCAACACATAGCTACTGGTGCATGATTGTGAGAAACCCTAAACCTAACAGACCACAGATTAAAAACATTTTGTCACACTCTTCCTGAAATGCTTATCGAAGCTGTCCGACATTTTTCTGGAGAGGATCACATGTAGAGCTGTCTGAAATGATTTCTCAGGTGAAAAATGGTTGTGTTGTGAACATTTCTCTTGTTGCCGTATGGCATTGTGCCATTTCAATAAAGCTGAATTGTAAGGTGGCCTTTAATAGCCATCATTCAAAGGAATGTGCACTGGTCTCACAATCTGATCATTGTTCTTTAAAGCCACAACAGACAAGGCTGTGACTTAACTCAATGGTAGAGAATTTGTCATTAGTTAAACTGCTTTAAAACGTTCTGCACACAATTGTCTAAATTTAAGCCTTTCCTTAACCATAACATGTTGAGTACGTTGTTATGTGCCATACCTCTGCATCATTTGGAGGCATCTCAGGATCACACTCAGTCACTGCTGCAGCCTCAGGGCTCTTTCTCTTGGTACAGTGTCCCTTCCCTCGACGTGTGTTCACAAACACAGTAGAGCTGGAAGCTTCTTCTTTACCAGTTGCATCTTGACTAACCTGAGCCACATCTTCATCCTCTTGGACAACTGCAGCATCATTATTTTGTTCCTGGAACATCCATACACCGATATGTACACATCAAACACAGTCAAAATGCTACTGTTTGTGGTTAATACTGCATCATTAATCAGGAGCAGGTTACCTGAACGTTCTCCTCGTTGCTCTTTTCTCGTTGATAATGCTGCTTTATGGCTTTCAGGAGTTTATCAGCCTGTGGTTGAATAAAACTAGGTTTTGAATGTAGTCCCCACATGTATGTTAACGTTAGCAAACAGTTAGCTACCGTTAGCTACAAGCCATAACAAGACGCGGTCTGAATTCTCTCAATTACTCATAGTTATATTACAAAAAGTTCGGTTCTCTTACCTTCATGTTCGCTTTAAGCCCGAGCTCTTTCGCGAGCCTTTGCAGTTCTGCGTATTTCATGGAGTCCAAATCCATGTTTGAGCGATTGTTTATCCCGTTTTGTGACAATAAATCCGTTCGTTTCTCGTTCACCGCGAGCTGCAGGAGCGTCTGGCGGTTGAAACTGCCTCCGATTCGAAACGCAGCCAAGGGAGCCTGCTGATTGGCTCTGAGGTGTGACCGGAAGTGCGTCGCAGCCAATCACAGCGAAAATACATATTATTTAAATATCGGTAACTTCTCCGCCTAAGTTTCCAGTTTTTAAGTTTTCTTATTTAAGCTTATTTTTTTAAGTTACTTTTGCATAGCTATACTAATTTGCAACCAACTGTTTTATTATGTTTAATTGTTATACAAAAAATAATTTAGCAGTATACGGGAATGTCTCACATTACACCACACGGTGGCAGTGGTACGACGTTTTTAAACAACACCGCGACGACGTAAAACCGGAGGAAGAGACGAACTACTTTACGATAAATTGTTCAAATTTGCAAGCGGGACCAGTTGCTAGCTAAAGTCTGTAAAACTTAATTAACATGGAATACAACGACAGCATATTAATCACACTTACAGACGATACACAGCTGAGTTCAGGAGCAGAGCTCACAACGCGGATGACCCTCCACTGTCAGCAGTGTAACCGTGTCCTGGCGGACTCCTTCTGTATCTGTGGGGAGATTAAATGTATGGACTCCATCGTGTGTTTAAGTAAGTTTACTTCAGCTGTCAACGATTATTGTCGACATATAAAATAATACAAGCGAGTTGGGGTTGTTTTAGATGATAATATTAAAGCTAATGTTGATAAAGGTAAATGGACAGTGAGTTTAGCTCTTAGTTTATTTGGCTATGTTTTTGGCAAACATACACACACACACACAACATATTACGAAATTACCTTAATTAACTTACAACATGGTCATGTAAAATGTTGGTATATTATTTTTAACAATAAAAATATCATCAAGATATGTCACCGTGGAGGCAGTTAACCTAGTTGCCATGGAGGTAACTCACTTGACATCACATGACCACATGAGTTTTGGTCAAACTGCTGCTTATTTAGATCACCTATGACCCCTTTGACGCCATTTTGACTTTTACAAATTACTTTTTTTTGGGTGTTTATTCAATAATTTGCTGCTGGCATGGTCTTTGATGTGTGTTTTGCAGTGCTACTGTACCCATTCTCCGGTGAAAGTCAAGTTTTTGCTCCTTAACATGTCCATATGTTGTGTTTTTATTGGCTGTATGACACATCAAGAGCAAAATAAGCAGTCATCATAGTAATAATAGGGGCTGTAAAGCAGAAGCTGTATGTTGCTGATTCAGATTCTCATATTAATGTAACTGAAGGATGTGTTCACTGGGTAATAAGCTAATAATTCATAGTGTACTGTATTTATTAGGAAATACTTTACAGATGTTACTCAACAATACAGTAAAATAGCCTAATTGTTTTTCTGTGAGTCTTATATCCTTTGACAAATTGTAAAGCAGCTCCATTATGCAACATCGCACACCCCTGATTGTGTTTTTTAAGTCAAAGAGACAAATATCACGTTCAGATTACAAAACCCTGATTATGAAACTATTAGGGAACAATAGTGCAGAGGTATATTGAAGCCGTTTTTAGCTTTGATGAGTTTTTAGGAGTTAAATCAACAACCAGAGAGGGACTTTAATCAACATTTTGCTGCTTGTCTCCCTTCAGAAGTAACCAGTGATGTGGTTGTTAGTGAGGCAATGGAATCTGGACATAAAGGGGACATGGTGAACTGGTGAGTATGGTTTTGAATTTTGAGATATGAATATGTCTTCGTATTTATTCAGCTGGATAAAAAATATATGCGTTTGTTGAGGCAACTTGTTAAATGGCACAAAATATTATCATTCGAATAAACAAGGCATAGATCAGCTACTACATGTGTCCTCTCACAGGTTATTAAGGAGTGTGTGCTTGTTGTTTCTGCTGTTGTTTACCTGCAGCATCTACAGCTCGCTGGAATGTCGTGGCTGCCGCTCTGCTGTGGGGAAAGTTGTTCACTCGGCTCCATCACGTTTGGCTGTGATTCGCTCCATATTTCTCCTCTACAAAGCAAACATCAGCTGGTAAAGCCCTCCCGCTCCGACTGAGCACACAAGCATATTGACTTCTTGTGTACATGTTTACTGCTGTGTGGAGAAGCCAAAACAAACAAGCAGCTTATGAGCACTGTCCAGTGTAGGAAAGGATTTTCTTAAAGCTCAAACACAGCCTTTAGATGTTGCACACCTGATAAATATGCTTATTTGACTTTTTAATATAACATTAGCTGCTGGAAACTGTTAATAATGCATGATTTACTACATCACTCACTTTTCTTTTTTTTCTGCAGCTACATCTTGAACAGCAGCTCGATGGTGAAAGCATCCACGCTCACATTTGATATGAAGCCCCTCAGAAAAAACATTGATGAGGTGAGACAGCAAGATACGACTGACTTGATCTGATTGTTTTTATCCAAGTTGGCATATTTAAGTCCTGTTTATGCAAGTTCATGGATTTATTTCACTCTTAACATTCATGATCTACATGTTTCTGAGCACTGTTGTGACACCTGATCTGGCAGTTTTTATCACAACTAATTAAATAACTGTTGAAGATTTAAATTGTTTCCTAAAACAGGTAATTAAGTTCAAAAGCTCAGGCTGAGTTTAAACCAAATCCGCCTCAGTCGCACTGAAAGGTAGAAAAATTTATTGGCAAAATCAGCCCCTAAACTACATGTTCAACAGTTCAAGAGTAGAAAATCACATGAGATAGGAATGAATGACACTGATTCTTTTTACTTAACAAACAAATCTGTTCTTTCCTTCCCACTGCAGATGAAACAACAGTTTAAAGCTCAGCTGGATCACATGTCGCTTGTTAAGAGCAGACTGGCTGACAGGAGTGTGACCAGCGAATTCAACAAGTAGCTGAATCGATGCAGCTGTTCCTGGGATTAGAAACCGTGTGTTCTCCAATCTGCTGTAAACTAGTTAAGTGTTGAGTGTGTGTTTTATGTTTTCATTACAAGTTTTGTCCCTGCAGCTGAAAAAACGAATCTTTTCCTCTTATTCACTTTGTGTTTTCTGACTTGTTGTAGTTGTTCAGCAGGAATGTCCCTCTATCTGTGGTGGGTTTATAAGATTCTGGCTGGTAGTTAAGTTGCAGTAAGACTCACAAGATGTTTGTCCAAAGTGGCTCAGTGCAAATGTTATCTAGTTTAACAGAACCACAGATTTCTGCCTTAATATTCTACATATTGTCTACAGTAGTTAAAGTTCTCACAGCTTCTTAAATCTACATGCAACTTTGCATTCACTAGCTAGATGCACTGACAATGTTTTTTATATTTTGTAGACTTTGTAAACAAGAAGGCCATTATTTCACATTTCAATTTGCTCCTGAGTTAATTCTCTAAATCTCAGCTCTGCTTTAAGCTCAACTTGCCAGAATACTCCCCTTTTACTTTGTTTTTCATATCTGCAGTGGAAAAGTCTATCCTGTTTTTTCTCTTTGTTGTAAATTGTCTTTTGTAAATAAAGTTTAAAAAAAGTTTTCCAATAACTCCCACTAAAAACCATAAACTGTTATTTGTAGCGCTTCATTTTTACAAGAAACTGTGTTAATTAGTCGTCTTTAAAGGTGCTATTAGACAAGTTTTTGAACTTTGGTGCAATGTGCTACTACATGCTAGCTTTGTCCCTATGTCGGGTCTTTATGCTAAGCTAGGCTAATCTTCTCCAGACTCGGGCAAGTAAATGTATTTCCCACAATGTCAAACTGTTCTTAGGAGCTGAAAATTCAATTATGTTCAAACTGATGAATATTTAGTTTTCTGGCACGCAGTAAGTATCACAGCCATGGATCGATAGTGAACTTTGGGTGCTAGTCCAGAGTAACATGAGAATCTAAGGAAATGCAATACAACCAGGAGGAAAAAGATCTGCAGACACACACAGGTGAAGACAAAATGACTAAACATAACAGGGCTGCATTGTTTTTGGATGAAAAACGCTTAACTTGTGCTACTTTCACACCAGTGTGTACTATATTTTGGCATTTTATGGATTTTTCTAGGACTTTTGGGAGTGATGTTGATACTGTTTTAAGCATAAAAACTACAGGGTTGCATTGTAGTGTGAAAGGGCAACAACAGTGTTTGCTTTCTGACTGGGCCTTAACAGTCTGGATTGTCCTGATTTGTCACGTGACAACAGACACTGGCCTTCACTAACGGCAGTTAATTCAACATAGATAACAAATGACAGGCCCGTAATTAGGGAAAAATCAAGTGAACTCTAGTTTGACTTTTCATCATTGTTGTTCTTCCTTCTTAGAACATTCTATAACTAAGGAACCGACCTCCTGCTTCATATCTCTGTGAATGGGTTTTCAGCTATGTCAGTGTGGATCGAGATTACTGTTGAAATGGAGCTAAAACACTGGATCTGGAAGGAGACTGGTTTTGTTTTAAAATACATCCTCAGTCTGAAGGTCTTGCTCTTCTTCAGGAGGCATGGGGGGCTTTTTATGAGTCTCTGCTCACACACAATCCGCCCATGACTACAGCCTCACAGTGGCATTAGCACTGACGCAGACTTGAACGAGATGTACATCAGGTCATTCATTCTGTAACAGCACTCAGACTGGAAGCAAACAGCACCACCCAGGCATCCAATTGGCACCATGCTGCATTTTATTGCTGAATTTCTGATACAGATTCATATTTTTTTTTTCTTTTTAAATACAAAACCAGACAAGAGGCTCACACATAATAAGCATGCCCATTTCCTCCCTCTGGAGTGCATAGTTTCTACACAGTCCACCTCCTCAGTGGAAAAGTTGATCAACAAAGTAATGTCCGTAATCTTACCTAAGCTTTTGTTGTTCTATTTTTTTTCTCTTTTTTTCATGGGAACAAAGGTTGATCTGTGTGTTTCAGCTGCACTGTGGCCGTGCTGCCGGCTCACGTCTGACACAACAGAGAGTGACACGGCAGAAACTTGTATCATGACTAAGCAGTTAGTCTGTAAGAACCACAAGTGATGCGCGAAGCTGCTTCGGTGCGCTCGCTGTTGTGCCAAACGAACCACCCTCAAGTCGTCACAGAACATTTGATATGAACACCTCGATATCCTAATTACACTCATTCACATTACAAAGTTGGATTATTGCATGCAATACAAATCATTCGTTATTCTGCTAAGTCATGCATATTTTTTAAACCCATATATTCATGTTTTGCTAGACGCCTACTTGCTTATAAATCGCGATTATAAATCCCCAGAAAGAGCAATACAGGGTTTTTAAGAACACAGTACTCGAGACAGGATGGCGATGATGACGGTGCAAGTCAGTACATAGAGAGAAAGTGCTTTTCAAACAAGTGTCAAGTTCGGTCAGTGAGTCTTTGCAGCCACAGAGTTACTGAAAAGTCTGTAAGGAAGGAGGTGGGTTTTGTTTGTTTTTTGTTGTGGATGTAAAAATGCTACAAGGATTGAAATTTTAAAGCATCTCTCATGTACCGATTGGTTTGGATTATTGTTTTGGTGTTAAAGGAAGGCAGGGAAACAGTGGTTAAATCTGTATTACCACGATGCTACAGCTGTCCTCGTATATCTGCAGGAGGCATCCCAAACCCCAATGCTTTTTTTTTTTCTTTTTTCTAAAGCCAAATATGTGACTCCCAAAAAAAATAAAGATAGCAAGCATAGGCATAAAGAGAGTGGGAGAGGGAGGGGGGGATCCTTTCCACGTGACGTTACAGAATCCTTTAAACACTTACACCCTGGCACTAAACTCATGCATTATTGTAGGTTATTGCTTCTAAAACTCTAATCAAATACAATTTTATGGATTAAAATATAACGCTCTGAATCCCAGAAACTATGAGGTAATATGTACAAAGCGATGTCGAGGTGAGATCTTAATTCTAGGACTAAAAACGTCAGATCCAAAGCTAGAGATTAAGGTTGTAGCGTTTTCTCTAAAGGTTTCTATCATTGTCACATCTTAAGACGCATTTTTCAGGGACAGTTTTTGGCATATTAACTACCTAATTCTTTTTTTAAGTGTGCAAGAACACAAGAAAGCACTTATTTATATTGAGCATATGTTAAAAGACTTGAATCAGTGCTTATTAATAGAACACCCTGATTGTGACGTACTGTATTTTTAGCCTAGACATGGAACAAAAAGAAAAGATTTTAGGGCAAAGCTGAATCTAAATGTGGTGTATTACGTCAATCTACCACCGTTCAACTGCACTGAAATGGTTTCCACAGTTTTGAGCTCCAGCTTAGTCTAGAAATCGATTTCACTATTCTTCATGAAGCAAGCATCACTACTGGTCATGCATGGCTACTATAATGTTGGCACCACAGTCCCGCTAAATAAGCTAATGCACATGAGTCTATACATATCTTAATGGAAGACATTGGTGATTTTGTTGCTTTCAAACAACTTGTCACTTGTTTATACAATATACAGTTTGGTCAACAACATGACAGTTAAGATCAAATATTGCACAAATCCCGGTAAAATGTGATAGATATTTTCTTTCCCTTTTGTGAAAATCATAAACAAAGAAAAACATGAGACCAGGGTTTCCCTCAGGCAGGGACCAAACGTGTGGTAAACTTTGCAGGCCAAAACATTGATTTTGATTATTTTGTCAAGATTAATGGCACAAAAGAAAAACTGTATCTCTACAAACAGTGCCTAAGAGAATGTCCTGTTTGTACATCTCTCGTGTGAACAAATGAGAGCTACTATGGAGGGAAAAGGCTAAATAAAAGGAAAAATTGGACCAGGATATGAGGAAGTTAGGATGCCAATTTTCACTTTCAAGGACTGAACATGAAGGGAATGCTGGGGAATTCTGCAAAAACGACCACACAGGGTCAAAAATCTTCTTTTAAAACAGATGCATAGGTGAGCATGCACAGTTTGAGTGAATGAAAATGGCTGAATGTGAATTAAATGACAGTGTGCGTCGTGTGCATGTGGGTTGCTCAGTCTTCTCCTATTTACCCGTCAACTACCTGCCTTATTAACCCTCCAAAAACTAAAATCAAGGAACAACATAGAAAACTGCTGTGGTGCTTGACAACCATTATGCTACTTGTACTGATCCTTTTCAATCCTGTTGGACTTGCTATGGCAATGAGGTAGAGCGAAAAACAAACAGAAAAAAACCCACAATGAGTCTAATTTAAATCACAGGCCTTGATCTTTGCTACAGTATCTTGTGTCTATACTTTCTTCCCAGAAAACATTAGCAGATAATTTGTTTAAAATCAGGATTTTTACTTTTTTTCGGGAAGTTTTAGTGAGTATGTTTACATGCGGCCTGGAGACCTTCTGGCAAATTTGGCCAGCGAAGCTACTGTGAGGCTACATGTAGGCATAACCAGAGTGTGCGTCGTGGAAGTCAGACAGCCCAGATTGGTGGCAGATGTCCTCACTGTTGATGATCAGGCTGCAGAAACAGGCCAGGACTAGAGGGGATGCTGTGAAGGAGAGATGCCTGATGTCCCAGTAACAGCAGGAAGGAGGACACCCGAGTCGCAGAAGCCCAAAGCAGGTCATCCTGACAGGGACTCTTTACCTCTGCAGGTCCTGGTGGTGGTGGAGGCGATATGTGGTTGGTGCTGCTCTGAAGGGAGACGTCTCTCCAGTCTGGGCTTCGGCTGGTTTCATGACTCGACGAAGTGGAAATTTCTTCCTAGAATAACAAACCACATGTGGATTGTTTGTTATCACACAGTTCAGTTGATGTCATCTAGACTGGGAGTCGACAGATATGTGTTTTTTTTTTCTTCCCAGGGCCGATACTGACACAGATTGTTAGTAATCACAGAGACCAATTAGCACGATACATGAAAATCTTAATGTCAAAACCTAAAATAACACAAAATTTTATGAAAAACTTCAATAAAATACTTTTTTTTTGTTTCACATGTTTAATTAGGGCTGGACATTCGAGCCTGAAAGTTTGTCACATTAAATTTGTATGTTTTAGTATGTTTAAGTTGTTAAATTTATCACATTACTAGAGAGAAGTGACTGCATCAGAGCCAAAGTAGTGCATTTTTTGATTTGTTTTATAAGAAATTGCTCTAAAAGAAAAAAAATAATAAAATCATCTGTACTTGGAAAAATGCTAAATATCACATCAGGTAATCAGTCAACCCCTAATCTAGAAATTACATCCAAGTGACCCAATTAAATAATCTTTTCATTTATAAAATGTCAAGAACGAAGGAATTACACATAGCTATTTCACACACTGCACTGAGAATAACTATTTGGATAATTTACTTGATTATCTAAGTTGCTGCCAATTAATTACCTGCTAATGAAGTGACTGATTAAATTACCAGCTCTGACCTAGAAGAATCCTGGACTTCATCCACAGACACTGATCACTGCAGAGACTCACAACACAAATAGTTTCACTTAAATGCATCAGATACAAACCGCCATGAAAGTATACAACTAAAGCACAAAGTTCAGCCTTTCCTGGTTCTTAAATACCTCTCATACCCCTTGGTAATGGAGCTCCTCCTTTAGATTATTCCTGGCTACTTCTCTATTTTTATTTACATTTAAATTCTTACTTTTCCCTGCAGAGTCAACCTTAAATATTACCTGTGTATCTTGATTTTTTTTTTTTTTTTAAAAGTCGTTAAAATCTAATTAAACCTTTTTCCTTCTTTTAAAAAAAGAACAACAAAAAAAAGAAAATTAGGTCATTAAAAATAATCAATACTAATGGATAATGACTGATGTAAAATTAATACCATTATATTTTTTGATAATATATCCAGTCTTAATTAAACATGTAAAACATAAAGGAACAAAGGCATCACAATTAAGTTTTATGTTAGATTTTACATTTTTCTAAATTTTGACACCAAGATTTTATTTTTTTATTACACACGTACATTGGTTCCAAATATCGATTTTCCATGATTATTAATAATCGTAAAATAAAAATAAAAAATAAATAAAACACCCTTCAAATAACATATCGGTTTATTACTAGACTTCAGTATGACTTTAGTGGAATATGTCAGGAGACAAATACACACAGAGTCACCACATGACATGAATCAAATAAATGAATGTCTGAGATGCTCTGACTTCCAGCTAATGCAGATTTTAGAGGTGACCACCCAAAATAACTGAAACAGCTCAATGGAAATCCAGTTTCTAGATCAATGTACCATTTTAAACTCCGCTGACAGTTTCTAAAACGTGAGAAATGTGCAGTAAAGTGTGGAAGTTGCAGCAGGCTGAGCTACTGACCTTGGTGACAGCGGCTCTGACATGATGCACAGATATTTCCTCTGAGCTTTGAGCTGCAGCTGCACACAATGGTAAACAAAAGCCGGAGGGCTTCTTCTTCCTCTACGGTGACACACCGGAGCGCCAACCAACCGGACGGACGCCGGGTTAAAGTCGCCGTTTGGGACCGCGTCGGTGAGGACACGGCTAAAGAAAGATAAACCCCAAACCTCCGGACCCTCTTCTCTCCCCTCCAAAGCACGCCGACGAGGAGAGAAGAAGGTCCCGTCGCCCCTCTCCTCCTGACACCCTTCGCTCTACGCCATTTTCGCTCTGCTACTACGAGCTAACGGCAGAAGGCGGTGATTGAGCCGGAGACCTGTCAATCAAAGCTAAAGCCCGCCCCCGGAAGTCTTCTTCTTCTTCTGTCCTCTTGTTGTCAATTAGCTTTGTAGCATGTTTATGCTTATTTACGGCTACTAACTACACCCAAATATGACCATAATTAGATTAAACTATTTAGCAATATGAGATTAATCTTACATATATGAAAACATAGACAAAATATTTTATTCCACATCAATAATTTACTCTTAATGGTAAATTGAGTAAAAAAATACATTTTCTATATATCATAATGACACTTCCTGAGTTAATTACTAGCAATAGTGCAATTTTATTTTTATTTTTTTTGCATTACAGGTTTTCTGAAAATTTGTCTTCAAATTTGGACATTAGGTATATAATCTAAAAATGTGCAATTTTGCATTCATTTCTGGAACAAAAATTTGAACATTGAAAATAGCCAACTTCAAAACTTTTTGCTCCATTTTGTTGCCATATTAGAGTCAAAGATGGTTTTGAATATCTTTTTTTTAATCACTCTGTAAGTAAAAATATATTGTCAACAGAAAGGGGGGAAAAAAAATCTACTTTCGCCATGAATAATATACTAAAAATCAGGTTGTTACTGATATATAAAATTACTTTAAAATATAATAAAAATCACATGTGTTTGAAATTATAATAGAAAAATGTAAACATTAAACAACAAACAAGAGAGAAGGAGCTAACAGCCTGTTTCGCCAAGGTTTATAACAACAGAATGAAACATGATCAAAGAGAGTGCAACCCTTAAAAAGATCAAAAACCAAGCATCATGAAAGGAATAAAATGTTATTCAAATGAGTCTGTTTGGGTAGGCTTTTATACACTAAAAATGTATGTTTAAATATAGGGTATTATATATTTTTAAAGCTACCTAATTTGCAATAATTTCAAGAACACAAATCTGCAATTTTTAAAAAAAAATCCAGCTTCAAAATGTGTTTCCTTCTGTTGTGTTACTCCACAAATTGGAAAACAATGTCGACAGCCAAACTACAAATAAAAATGTAAGAACGAGCCATGTTTTTTAAATTCAGCATCACCTTCTCCCTCTGAAATGCGGTCGATTAGCAAACATTTCAGTGTCTCATCTGGATTAAACCCAGATGCAAACATCTAATTTAAACTCAACAGCTTTGCAATAAATGACACAAAGAAAGCATGGCACTTATTTTATTCAAATCAAATTCATGAATCACTTTGATAATACAGAGACCAACATCACATAACATGTCAATCACACCTGACAGATAATCACGATTGATTAAATGGTTAAACTGTATTTCCTGCACTCAGCTGCTGGAGGGTGTTTTTGTAGTGACTTAACAAACTCACGTTACAGATTAAAGAGTCAGACGTTCGCTCTCCAGTTCATGGAGCACTAGCTTTGACTGAAAATGGATATTTTTTTCAATGCGTTTGATTCCCTTTTGGAGCTGGTCAGCGAGGAAACTGCAAGACAAATGTTGAGCAGTGCATCGGTCAACAAAGATTTTTGTTCTTTACCACAGGGAGGCTGATCATATAAATAAAAGCTAAGCGTGTTTTCTCTACTTGTTCTAAATTTCCTAAGTGGTCCACAGCCCAGTTTCCACCACAGGATCTGGCAGTGGCAGCCAGGCCGCAACTAAGTCTTAATCAGAGGGACAAACTTTTAGAAAGCAGGTCAGGTGGCAGCTAAATCCTGGTGATACAAGTTTTCAAACCTACTTTTGTTACCTGGAAGACTCCCGTACTAAAAAGATGCCCCATTTTGTGTGAACTCTTCAGTCTTACTGCCACCGTGTTTAGCTGTAAATAAACAAGCCTTTCCTTTAATATCACACTGAACAAGCGGCGGCCCCCAGGTGGTTACTGACTTTGGAAAAGGGTCAAACTTGCTTCGGAAAAAAGTAATTACAGTCCATTGGCAGTACCGAGGTTAAAAATAACAACAAACACAAACATGGCTACAGGTTCCTGCTGTCTGTTGAGATAAATAACGTACAAAGAGGAACCACAGCCATGGCACTTCAGTGAGTAAAACAACAATCTGTGGAGCAGGTCCTGCTTTGCTTCAAGGGACTACCTCAGAGCTGGCTGGTCTGACTGGCTCTGCCACAAGTCAAAGAAAAAAGAAAAAGGAAAAAAAAAGGATTGTGAAGATCCTGTTAGCGTTAAAAACACTGACTTTTCTGAGGAGGAATCACATGAACCATTGCATATGTATACAGACAAAGACGCAGCATGTGCTAAATATCAGCATGAGTGAATTTAAACTTAATTACTCACTGCAATAGCAAAAAGCTTTATAGTACCGCGCTGGAAAATCATTTCTCATGTGAAAAGTGGAACAGCGGTGGTACAAGCTATGACCCCTCTAAAAGTTTACTAATAAATAGTGTTCCATAACTAGGAAAAAAAAAAAAATACATAGTGACATTGCATAAAACAACCCAAGGCACGCAACTTTTCCCTTTGTTTACAGAGAAGTGCAAAGGCAGAAACTCAAAAACCTATGACGTTATCTACCCAATGCTTGGTCTGACAGCGTGTTACTGGTGGTGAAGGGCTGCAGCCGCCCGGTGAGAAGCTGGATGAGGTTGTTTCCTGACATCAACGGACATGTTCAAGCTCTACTCAAAGTAAGAAAAAGGAAACCTAGTGCAGGAACCGGATGCTCATTTTCTGCTCCACGTCCACCTTTTCCAAGACCTGAGGAAGCAAAACGGAACAAGTTAACACTCCAAAAAGAAATATTTAATGGGCACAGCACAAAAATTTCAGTACGGAGCTTAACAGTGGCTGTTTGGAAAAAAAATACACTCAAAACATTAAACACTAGCTTTGTTTTTCATGAGTTTCATTAAGTTTAATGGGCTTGTCGGTGTTTACAAAAATTACACAGGGAAAACCAGGTCTATTGTTAGCTAAAATTAGTTTATTATTCATATCCTCGGTCCATTAATCAGATTTTACCTGCATTTGGTTTTACATGAGGGGCAGTTCAGGGAGGTATGAGAGGATTTTGATGTATTTGATATGATATTCTCAAATTATTAGAGCATAAAAGCTTGTACAAAGTTTTATAAAGCATCCAATCTTTTCATTTTATAAGAATATCCCATTTATCCTTTTATTATGCCAGACTTTAGACATTATAACTCAGATTTTAATATTGCAGAGATGGATGAATGGAGGAAAGTTGATCATTTACACGTCTTAACCGAGTAGAAAGAAAACAAACGTCTTTTGTGTGGCATAAAAGACAGAAGTTCTGATCCTATTAAGGATAAGAGAAACTATGAAAGTTGAATTGCCCAAAGCATACACAGTCTACTTTATGCATATGAGAAACTATTTTGTAAATGTAAAATATGTCCTTGGAGTTTCTGTCCTTCTTTTCTGTGGCCACTCCTGGACTCTAGTTTGTGTCCCACTGGGGCCTCCGCTGCTAAAAATGTAGTGGTGGTGCACGGTCAGAGCTTTAAATTAAAAAGCACCCTTCAAATAGCATCTGTTCTGCTGATATGACCTTCGCAGCAATACTTCAGTGGTTTAAAGTGCAACTTAATCCAAAGCTCGTAGCCAACTCCACCCGCTGCATGGTTTTGAAAAATGCAAATAGTGTTGGAGGGGCGGTGGAGAAGGAGAACAGGGGAGTGGACGTGTGAAGCAGGTTGATCACAGGAAGTTTCAAATCAATGACTTCAGGCTCTACAATGTCTCAAGCCGAAGCTCTTGTGAATGATGTGTCTCGAAAAGCACATACGTGACCCATCTGCACGAAATCAGTTGCATTGTGCCTGGGGCTATTATGTGTAAACAAAAGCAGCATGTTGCTACCACATGATGCAAATCACGGGACAGGATTGGTTGGCAGTGACACACTGCTCGCGGCGCCTGTTCACAAGTGATTTCTGTGGCTTCTTTCTGGTGTTACCGCTCATGCACGCTGGTGGTATTTGACAGCGATACTATATGTCACCTACATGTAGAAAACAACTAAATGGACCAATCTAAGTAATAAACCCAAAATCAATATTTTATCATGCGTTAATGTAATTCGGGCTTTGTCTCAGATATAGCCCAAGGCTATATGCGACTGATTTTGTGCAAATGGGTCACATATTTCAAAATAAGCGTGGTTTGTTTTACTTTGTTTTCATGTTGCCTTTTGTGCTTCAGAGCAACTTAAACCTCAGAATCCCAAATTGCACCTGGAGGTTAAAAAGGCATATTGTTCTTTAAAAATGACCAGAAATAGACCATTGATCAGAGCCAGAAGAAGGAAAAATCATCAGATTTTCAACTTTCTGATGGTCCTTGAACTTATCATGTTTAACTTAAGGTTGTGCAGAAAAAACTGAGCAAATCTAAGCTTAGAGTTGTGATATTTTATCCAAATGAATTTATCAACATGCTTCATCTGCTAAAGGAAAAACAAAAAAACATTTGCTCTTATCAGACTCTGTGTAAAATTGTAAAAATCTGCATTCCACATTACAATCATGAAGCCATCAGTGGCTCAGCTACAAGTGAAAAAGAATCAGGACTTTTCTGCTGAACTGCAGACGGTGTTTACACAGAGCAGAGACAAGTAAGGAAAGACATAAACGTTCATCTATCCATTATCTATACACCGCGTATTCCTCACTAGGATCACGGGGGGCTGGAGTCTAACCCAGCTGACTCAGGGTGAAGGCAGGGGACAACCTGGACAGGTCACCAGTCTATCACAGGGCTACACTTAGAGACAGACAACCAAGCACACTCACATTCACACCTACGGACAATTTAGAATCACCAGTTAACCTCAACATGTTTTTGGACTGTGGGAAGAAGCCGGAGAACCCGGAGAGAACGACATGTAAGTAATAAAATATCTATAGTATGTAGAGTCACCATTTTTGTTGTATATCTTGAGTCCACATTTTTTCCCTGTGAAATAAGTAATCATGGAAATTCCACTTTTCTTTCATGATATTTTATGATATATGACACTGTAACTTTGTTATGCAGCACAAAAGACATTTTAAATTCTCTACTTCTAGTCGTGGTTGTGCTGCTTCCGTAGAGTTGCATTTAGAAAAATGAGCCCACAGTGAGTAAAAATGTGACTGGAACATAAACCACAAAGGAGCTGCTTGGAGTTCACAGTATGTACGTAAAGTGAGCACAAAACTTGCCTTGATAAACTCATTGAAGGAAATGGAGTTGTCTCCGTTCGTGTCGGCTTCCTGGATGGTTCTATCAGCGATGCTGCCAAGCTGTTCGTCTGAAATGTTTACACCAACCATCATCCGTAAAACCTGTAGAGAGAAGAGAAGGCCTCTTTATGGTTAATGGATACCAGAGAAAAACTGCTCCTGCTAAAGATTAAATGATAGTTGTGATGTGTGAACAAACAATATGGAGGAATGTTTTGGAAACAAACTTAATGTTGCAGGTATTTTAGCAATTCATAAGACAATTTGTGGTTATTTTGATTTATTAGCAGGTGACTGTAAAAAAATTACATGAATATAAATAACAATACCTATAAATTTAGTGAAAAATAAGCACGCAAACAGCACTTTGAGTTGCACATTTAGTCTTACAAGCTCGCGCATCAGATGAAGCAGGTGACACAGAAAATGTTTTGCGCAAAACAAGAGCTCCGTCTGAGTCATTTAACCCGGAGCTTACGCCAATTACAGGTCACACAATGTCACCGAAACCGAGAAGGCTTCACACAGCGACAACAAATAACACGGAGGGAGCGCAGAGGAAGCCAAAATACAGGATATTAGAGCGTCTGGCGAAAATCAGCCTGTAGTTAAGGTGAGATATCACGTCATTATCAGCACAAGGGCAAAGTCTTCCCATCGACATGGAAATTCTTCTCCCCGTGGAGCACTTTAAAGTCGCTGTTGCACAATAGAGTTTGTTCCTTTGTTAAACACGCAGCGAACAGCAAATATTTTCACAGGTAATAATGGATTTCCATGAAGGAAGGGGGAAAAAAAAACAGGTTTGGAGTCTACCTATTCACCATCTGAGCTGATTCACTTGTGGCAAACTGCACCGTGACTCAGCGTCTTATCCACATGACGAACTCACCTGCAGCAGCTCATCCCGAGAGATTTTGTCATCTCTGTCCAGATCGTAGAGACGGAAAGCAACTGGAAAAATAAAAAATATGTAAGTCATGCAAGACCACTGTAGGAAATGTTGGTCATGTTCATGACACTGGTCAGCGGCTCCACCCAAACACGCCTGCGTGACCGAGCTGAACACTCACAAAGCAGCTTGTTTGTCCTGCTGTTCAGTGGCTCGCTGGCAGCTTGATTCTTGTTCTTCTCGTTGTCTTCAATCGGCCTGAAGTGAGCCAGAGTTCGCATGAAGCCCCTGAAGTTTACCTGGTCCTCTCTAAAACCCACAAAGCACAAGGAAAAAAAAAAAAATCACAAAACATCCACATAAAACCACAGATTCTTTTGTACAGGCTCATTTTGCCTTTCAACTCAAAGTGTGAATGAAACCAAGTAGAAACCCGACACTATTGTAACCACTTGAATGCTCTCCAGCTCTATTCTCAAGAAAAGAAAACAAGGCAAAACCAGAGAAACGAGAACCCATCTGAAGCCATTAAAAAGCCATGGCTCAATTTAAAACGCCTACACATCTGACTTTTTGGGATTTTAATGATATATCCAGAAAACATCTGGTTTTTCACTTACACACTGATAAAAAAAAACAACAGCCAAACAACATTTTAAAACTCTGCTTGATTTATCGCTTCGCAGAACTTGGCAGAAAACACTGAGCTTCTTAAGTCTGCGTTGGAGGAGCCGCAGCTGAAAGGCATTACGGTTCCGGTCCGGCTTTGCGGTGGTGGTGACTCAAACCTACACAAGTGCGCACGCTAAACAAAAAAAACAAGATTTTATAAAGTCTGCAGAGCAATAACAGCTGCGACTTACCCCTCGGGGAAGAAGGCGTTGATGATTCTGTCTCCCAGAGGATTGATGGCCAACTCTGGGATCCTCTGGAAATCTTCTCGACTGCAGACAACAGAAGACGTGATCAACACAATGCGTTTGAACAACAGGCACCAACAGGATGCTCATTTAAAGCTTTACAACAATTTGTCTGAGACTGAGATGTGATCATTAAGATGGGACACGGTGCAATGACAGGCTGAACAGTTGTGGAAAAGTATTTAATTCTCCTGACAGATACTGCGATTTAATTTGCGATACAATTTCTTAAAGTTGAGTTTCAGTTAAATATTGACTGTGTAATGGATTTAAAACATGTGACGGAGCATTACCACAGGAGACACCGTCTAAAGTGTGACTGTCACACAAAGAGGAAGGCATGAATTTGTAAATAACTGTAGCCTTTGCGATTTGCTAATTGCAATATTTCAAACAAGGATTTTGATTTGAAATCGATCAATTGTACAAAGCTTATTAAACCGCATCTTGATTATTTTATGAAACGTAAACACTATATACTTGTTTTGTTTCTGCAAACAGATTTCACTTTGTAACTGAATTTTGGTCTTTGTCAGTCAGTGAAAAGCTTTCCTGGTCCAGCTGCGGGACTGAGAGTCAACCTGCTGATATATAAGTAAAACCTCACTGTTGTGGCAACTAATGAATGATAAGAAAAATGGGAACGAGTGCGACTAATGCTGCGACTGGAAGCGTCAGAGCAAGGACGAGCGGAAGAAAGAAGTTGTTATGTGTAAACACAGCATCTTTCAAAAGCCAGAGTTCTCCGAAGCCATACAGAGAACATACTGTACATTTCTTTTATTTTGCCCTTGAGAAAATGACCTGCGAATGAATCCTTTTCGCCGAACCAAAAAGGGTTCAACTTAAGTTTTAGTTGCTTAATGATTACCCGTTTCTTCACTTATCACTGAGGACAGAGTCAGAAATTAACCACAGAAACGTCACGCTGAGGTGTCGAATGAATGCTGCATGACAGACTGCATTAACACACATTTAAAACTGACTGATATCTTCACAAACCTTTGTCTTTTTTTTATGTAACGCGTGTGTTCATAAAAGCACAAAGACTTTGCCACACTGACAACACCAAATTGGCAATCACGCCAATCAATCTTATCAAATCCATTTCAACACCCTTTATATCACCCTTTACAGGTTCAGTCTTTCTTTGTTGTTCAGTATGACACAAAGTTCTGCACCTGAAATGATTGTATCCTCAAAAATAAATATCCCAGCTGTGAGGATTCATTCTCTTTATACATTCCAGATAACATAAGTCAACCATCAACATCCATAACACAAAATGTCATTGACTGGTAAAGGATCCAAACGCATTATTTACAGCATCTGGCCAGGGTTTAAAGACTTTATATTCTTGCTTACCTGAGGGTGCCGTTCTCCCCTTTATCCAGGCTGGTGAATCGGCTGTACAGGCGGGTGATCTGACTGTGGGAGACTGCAGGGTAACACAACAAAAAGGCAAAACTGTTAGTGCGAGAGAACCAGAAAATAGCCTTTATTCAGGCAAAACAACCTTTAACCCAAATACTGCATTTATTGGCACTAGACGTCTACTCATAATGGGTTCAATGGCTCAAATTTCCCCCAGTCACACAGCTGAGGGAGTACAGCAGCCAACAGACGCAATAAATTTATGCAACTTCCTCCGAGTGTGTGATTAGGAGATGTCACTGAAGAAATACTGGGCTTTAGGTCACGGTGTAACTTTGGTTAATGGCACTTTAATGTGTAAGAGATGTAACAGAGCTGTATGTTTTATAAATAGCCCAGGATCTAATTTTATGTTTGGTTTTTAACAAAAAAACACAGTCATGGATCTACTCATCCAGCATCCTGATAATGAGTTAAAATCATGATACAGTCAATCAAAAGTGTTGGGATCTTATTATACTATTTGTAAAAGTCTAATTGGTTTACTAAAGTCAACATATTTCTCTGTCACTTAAAGATTTATTTATTTTTAGTTTCACAGGAGGATATCTTTAACTGTGACATTATTGTGTGTATGGGTGTTTTCCCATAACTGCATATCGAACATGTCCTTTCTTATCAGTAAAGTATCTGACATAATGTGGCAGGAGCAATAAAAACGTAATTGCTTTATTATATGTTGCTGTAGTTGCATCACTAGTTGTCAAGCTGTCATTATGGTATAGACAGAACTTTCTGTGTTTTTTGTCAGCAACACATGCAGCAGATTTAATCAGATTTGTGGTGTTGAGTTATGGGACTTAATGGATTAACTTCTTCTCTTCTCATAGACTACTTAAAGAGCACCCAAATTACCACTAAGTTAAATTTGATTAAAAGAAGAAATCCTAAGTGACATCTTTACATGGTATTATAGTTGTAAAACAACATAAATAAGACTAATTCCCAGACAGTCGTGTAGCTCCCCTGCACTCACTGTGACATTAAAGTGGATCATGGGATAAGCTTAGAAAGACAGTGGGATGACCTTAGTTTGCAGAGAGCACAGTGGCTTACATTTATTTTTTAATATTAAGTTTGCTTTGAAATAAGGTGAAACTAATGAACTTCTCAGGTTAAAATCTAAACATTTTCTGTGCTGGGATGCTCCCCCGATGTGCCCAGAGCCCAACAACACCTCTGCATCTAGCTAACGTTCAGGAGTCTTCATGTCCATCGCAGGAATTAGTCTAAGCTCAACTTACAGCCAGTCTCCTTCTTAATTTCTTCGATCTCCTCTTCTCGGAGTAACGTGGACGCTCTGGATCCCATTGTGAAATGTTAAAGGGCGTCAGAAACGAGATGTCTTGCTTTGCCTCCTTGCGCAACACCGAGTAGCTGTGGAAGAATCTCTGTCGATGTTGAAGTTAGCAAACAAGCTAACTTAGCTACAAAAAAACAATCCCGTTCCGCTCGCTAGCAGCAGAGAAACTAAAGCAGCCGTTACAGCTGGAGTTTGGTCCGAAAAGCCGGTTCGTGTCCGTCTGTCGAAGCGGCTCGGCGGGCAGCCCGTTTGCCTTTAGAGCTTTTCTCCGGTCTGTCGCGTTTTCATGTCACTCAGACGGGTTTCGGGCAGGTTACCTTCCTGTTTAATGCCGTGGGTGTGGCGAGCGAGGCCGCCTCCCTGACAGGATGGTGACCGCGGAGTTGGGTAGCCGCGTTTAGTGCCTGATTAAAATTCAAAGAAAAGTCTCGTATATAATCAAATTTCATTCAAAATATATATTTTAACCCATGTGTTAAACAAATATAGCAAATATATACATCTAAAGAAAAACTAGCAAATGAATATTTTAAATTTCTTATATTTTCTGCAGTCATATTGAGGAAAAGCCAGCTGTGACATCATCCTGGTCATGATACCGTCACGACCACAACACTGGTTCAGACTACAATGCTGTTGAAAGTCTGGCTCTTGCCCAACCGATACCTGTTGACCCACAAAGTTAGAGAAATCTCCTTGAAAATAATTCAGAAGTTTTAACCGTCTAATGATCATATTGTTAAAAGATTCAAAAGAGACATTGATGTGAAATGCACTTTCTGTTCTGTGAATGCTGAAACAGTGCTACAAACATTGAAATGGAATTTAAGTTGTTTTGGAGGGATGTGCTTTTTGGCCTCTCTGACTTTAGCAGAAATAAGACAAAGCCTAATGAAACATTCATTATTAATCTCATCATTCTGTTGGCAAAATTCCACATTCACAAATGTAAGTTCACACACAGAAAAACTTCTTTTATTGATTTTCACAGTGAGATCAAACAGTACATTAAGTTTTCTCCTAATCAAAAGGCAACAAAAACCGTGAACATTTTGGTATTTTCTTGTAGACTCCTATTCCCCCTGGCAAGTTATGTGATGTTCTGATTATTCTGTTGTTGAAGACCTACAATTTTGCAAACTTTGTACATTATGATACTTGTATATTGAAGATTTACATGTCTGTAACTTTGCAAATGATAAATAAAGTTTTTGTGTGTTTTAAAAAAAAGACTGTGCTGTTAAAATGTAAACATTTGGTAAACATCTTTATTTTATCCCAATTTATTAGTTTTATTTGTTTGACACATTTTCGCTGTGTTTTTTGCATTCAATTGACTCTAGTCACAAGGTTGTTTCACCTACACTGACAAGATTCG